CCCCCCCCCCCCCCCCCCACACACACTTTGTGAGATAGATCTTATTGGGTTTATTGTTGTGTTACGGAGAACATCCTCCATCCCAAATTACTATACCACATTTGGTTCGGCACGAAGCTTAAGAAACTTAAAATTGTGTGTGATTGAATGTGACACAAAGAAGATAGAAATAATGAGCCACAAAAACTTTTCCAAAATTAAAAACATGACTAATTTATGGGATGTCAATCCCAAACAGGTAGCCCCAAAATTGAATGACCTGATAAATGGCTCCAAGCAAACATGGCCATATATAGCTGGTTTATACTTCTTTTGTATAGTTCAGAAAAAGAAATGAACAGAGGGGCCAAGCAAGATAATGCGATGTGTCTTTTACGTGATGAGGCTAAAACTACCCAAAATTATGCGTTTTCTCTTACTTGAATTCTTTAATCTCAAAGACACGGGCAGTCTTGTCGGTCGAAGTAGAAACAAGGTAATCCCCATCTGAAGAAGAAGCTACAGATTGAATGACATCAGAATGTCCACTTAGAGTTTTCACACAGCTTCCCGAAAGGCTGTCCCAAATCCGTACTTTGCCATCAACGCAGCCTGTAGCCACATACTTTGATGTGCCTAACCACAACAAGCATGTCACTCCTCCCTACACAAAGATTGACACAAAAGCACGCAAAAGAATTAACTTCCAGCTTTATCCAACTCCTAGTTTCTTCCAACTTCCTATAGTTTCTTCCAGCATCCAACTTTAGAATTCCAACCGAAAAGAACATAGCCTAAAACGAAAGGAGTGTAAAATGATTTCATAGTAAAAACTAACCGGATGATGACACGTGCAACGGGGCACCGAATGTTGTAGATCCCAAATAATGAGCTTTTGGTCCGCGCTTCCAGTTGCAGCCCAAGGATTGCTGTCAATCAAGCATTACCAGTGGGTATAAGGTAGGAAATATCATTTTAAAGCCACGATATTCAAGTCTTTTCCCTAATGAAGGACATATTTAAACCGTCTTCTCCTTTCCAAAAGATATCAATAGAGATAGAGAGAAGTGCCAGTATAAGGTTTCACCTTGCTGAAAGTCCAATACATTCAATTGATTCAACATGATCACGCAGAGAGCTGACAACCTGAGAGGATTAGCAAAACAAACATGGATTAATTATTGCAGAGTTTCACTTTATAGAGATTTCTCTCGCATAGTTAATCAAAACCAAAGGCTCAAAGGTGTAGTGTCAGTATGAATACCCTCCCATTTGTAATGTTCACAATGTGAATCGAGCCATCCTTGGAGCCAGTGAGAGCTAGTGATGAATCTGAGCTGATTGCCAAGCATATAATCCCCTCTCGGTGGTATGAGTGGCCTAGAATGTAAAAAAGATTTGTCAAATTTATCAATCAGCTAAAGCAGTAATTTAGTCAGATCCTGTTTTTTTACAAACAAAGATAACCACTATTTTGCAATAAGATACAGTGCACAACAACAGCAATCCTAAACCTATACAACCTACTCTCCTTATATCTTGGGTGGCCAACTTTATCAAATACAACACTCACTCTGTCCATATTAAATCTGCCTCATGTGCCTTTGCACAGAAGGCACAGAGTTTAAGGAAATGAAATTGTGCGGTTGAAATTTATTTAGAAATTGAAAAAAAATTAGAGGCAAGGAAACATCCTCTCTACTTTCGAGTATGGGCAAGGTCTGTGTCACACCCTCTCCAGCCCATACTCTCGTGGGATACATTTGGGTTGTTGTTGTTGATGTAAAGTGAAAAAAATAACATCAACCACACATTTGTTCCTTAAAAAGAAGTAATTTAAGAAGGTTAGGGACGAACTAAAAGGAAGGTGAAAAGATTAAAAGGGGAAGAAGAAAGTAATACTTTTTCAACAACAACAACAACAACCCAGTTGGATCCCACTACAGTAGGGTCTGGGGAGGGTGTGTGTATGCAGACCTTGCCCCTACTCGGAAGCAGGGAAGCTGTTTCCAAGAGACCCCCGGCTCAACCTGTACAAAAAATATGATAGGGTACAAAGTATAGCATGGGTAAAACACCAAGTACAATGAAAAGAAAGTTCTACAAGCATTAATAGAAGATTCCAATCAAACACAACACACTACAAAAAACCTCTGTAGCACCGAGTTCCTAACCAGCTACTCTAATCCTAGTTCTCCAAAGGTTCCTATCTAAAGTCATATCCTCAGTCAGGGTGAGAAGTCCTAAATCCTGTCTAATCACCTCCTTCCAATTCTTCTTAGGTCTACCCCTTCCCCTACTTCCCCCGATAACCGTAATCCGCTCGCATCTCCGTACAGGGGTGTTAGCATCCCGCCGTCTCACATGACCAAACCATCTCAACCTCACTTCCCGCAATTTATCTTCCACCGGCGCCATGCCTACTTAACGTCGGATAACTTCGTTCGAAATCCTATCCAACCTTGTCTTCCCACACATCCATCGTAACATCCGCATCTCCGCCGCATGCAGACGATGCACATGAGTCTTCTTAACCGCCCAACACTCTGCCCCATATAACATAGCAGGTCTGACTACGGATCGGTAGAACTTGCCTTTCATCCTGGGCGAAATCTTCGGGTCACACAATACCCCTGAAGCCAACTGCCATTTGGCTCAAGCCACTCCAACACGATGTCCAACATCCCCGTCTAACTCCCCATCAGCCTGGATTACCGAGCCAAGATATCGAAACCTGTCTACCTTAGGTACTAGGTGAGAGTCAATCCTAACTTCCACCTCTGATTCTGTTTCCTGCCGCTGAAACGACACTCCATGTATTCAGTCTTGTTCCTACTTTTTCAAAAAAAAAAACTGATTATCGCTCTCCACTTGAAAGAAGTGATTTTTCTCAGAAAAAATGCCCAAGATTAGATCTTCATCTCCCTCATTAAAATGAGTAAGAACTTAGCATTACAGCAGGTTTGGGTGTGTTAAATCATTTCAGCTTTGAATGAAACCTATACTGAAGAAAGAATTCAATAACTATATCTTTATATCTGTCACTCTAAGTCGATATATCATTTTCAGTAGGTGAGATGGTAAGCTTTTCTTTTGCAACACTTCTTATGTCTGATCTCATTATCCTTCACACTTTACATTGACTTTTTGCTATCAAGAAACACATTGGCTTTTCAAAATTGTGAATTGTGGAAGTATATTCTAATGAGTGGTGTTTCTGTGCACCCAAGGTCCATGCCTAATTCTTGGACTTTCTCACAAAAGTTGTTGGGCTTAGAAGCTAATGTGGATAAGGGTCCGTTTCACCCAAGCTAATGTGCCTAATTCTAAAATCCTAATCCTAAAATCCTAATCCTAATCACAAGCCTAATCCTAAAACCCTAATCCTAAAATCCTAATCCTAATAATAATCCTAATCCTAATGAGTCCACATAAGCAGCATCCATATAATTGGAATGGACCTAAGGACCATGAAAGTATTGGTCTATTCTAATTTCTACTCACTAAACGCAAATATTAACAAGATCTACCTCTCACAACATGAATGCTTTCAGCAGTTCGTGGGTTCCAAACTCTTAAAGTTGCATCATCTGAGCCAGTACAAATTTTTCTGCCTACACACAAAAGGAAATAAACATCAGAATTACATATTTGCATTTGGGTCACTTTCCCAACACTACTACTACTACTACTACTACTAATAATAATAATAATAATAATAATAATAATAATAATAATAATAGTAATAGTAATCATAATAATAATAATAACAATAACAACAACAACAATAATAATAACAACAATTCAACAACAATAATAATCCAAAATACAAAGTATTTTCCAATAGAAAATAAGTACCATCTGGGGTGAAATCGCCACAGGTAACACTTTGTCCATGGCCTCTAAACATATTAAGACAAGCACCATTGTCTGCATTCCACAAGAAAGCAATGCCATCCTCTGAACCAGCCAAGATCAAATGCCCTCTTGGGTGCCATCTTAGCCACTGAACGACCCACAATTCTTGAGTTTATAAACCTAAATACCTAATTAACACCAAAAACTGCAACCAACAATAAAGAAGAGTTTTACCTCAATTCCTTTGTCTGTACCTTCTAGTGTGCATTTAAGATTTCTAGAAGCTACATCCCACACTTTTATAAGCCCATCAAAGCTACCTGAGGCAAGCAGCATGCCATCGAAACTGAATGCTACACTTGATACTGACTCATTGTGACCTGCAATGAAATCTCAAAATACTTCAGTAAAGAAATACTACCTCGTCCAAACAATAGAAGTTATGTTTGACTAATGTACAGCATTTTAATGTTGGTAAAGTACAAATGTCATCAATTGTGAATCATACTTATACTTTTAGAATTTATTTGTTGGTTACATGGTTTAACTAAATTTATCATATGTAACTTGTACAGTTGTACACAATTAATTTTAGGCAACTTTTGACAAATTTATAAGAAGTACCTTGCAACTCAAAAGTAAAATTTCCTTGACAAATTCTCCACATAAACCCTTTCTCATCTTCACCCCCTGTAGCAACTAAAGTAGGATCTGTGCTGCTGCAGCAGGCAGCGTAAACTTCACCTAAAAATGTTTATACAAAAGCACTAAATACTGAGAAACATTCATGACTTCATGTATAGTAAATTGTTAATTGACATCACTGGCTGACTAAACCTTGTGAGCTACATCACAGTTAGCATGTGATGAACATTTAGTACAACTACGGTGACAAGTTAGCATGTGATGAGCTGGATCCTCGTACCTTGATGAGTCCCGATGAACATTTAGTACTACTACGGTGACAAGTTATTAATACAATAGAAGATGCAGTTAAAAAAGAACTTTTCACAATTACATTTTTGGTTTCCGGTCAGCAAGCATTAAAGTGATGACCGTGTTCTCTGTAATTCATAAAGCCATGGATGATTGGATAGCTCGAAGTTACACGTTGGATTATGATTTCTACAAAATATTAAAAAAACATGAATATAGCCTACCACTGTGGCCTGTGAAAATATGCACCGAATCATCTTCATCTGAAATCATCATGCCAGACAGATAGTAACAGCAATTTAGCGATCATGCAAATGAAAAAAAGGCAAGAAACAAAAATTACTCAAAGTATATAAAAAAAGATGTATATGTCCAAACAATACAGCTGGATAGCCACAAAATCAAGTAAAATTAACATAAGTTGTTTTCAAACACAACACCTTCTTCTCCTTCGATGTCATAATCACCATCTCCACCTTCCTCGGCATTCGGAAGTTCTATTATAAAACACAAATCCACTTAATCAGATATCCACCCTTTGAAATTTGACAGAGAAAAGGATACACACACACACACACAGAGAGAGAGAGAGAGACAGAGAGACAAAGAGAGAAATTGAAACAGATAGACTGCAAAGGGAAAGTTACCTTCTTCATCCACTGAGATTTCTTGTATGGCATCAATTTCGTCTAGGTACACCTCTCCTCCATATCCATCATCTTCCTCTTCTTCTTCTTCTATGGGGCGGTAGGTAGAGCTAGGGTTCATGGTTAAGCCTACAAACAGTGATTCAGGGAGTCAGAGATTGTCACGGGCAGGAACAAAGAAGACAATGGCTAGGCTATGTTTGGGAGATTGTTTTTATATTGTTATTATGTAATGTATTGCTTGTGATGGTTCAATAAATTTTCAAATCATACCTAACATCCTCACAAAACGAAGAAATCACTGCTTGTAATGTTTCATTGATTCATAATGTTTTATGATCTATTTTAAAATTTTTATACTCATATCATTGACAATAATGCCCTTGACTATAAACATCAATTTTTGTCAACATAAAGACTGTCCAACCTGCAAATGCATTTTAAATCTTTCACATTACTTGCCCTCTCATTCTTTTTTAATGCCCTTGCACACCATCTTCAATTTGAAGCTTCCGTGCCTTATTTTTCTAACACAACACAAGTACACATTTTTTTCTCTTTTCTTCTACTAATACCATCCATCGCATAATAAAACAACAAAACAAACACAATATCATATTACATATTTCATAGGTTTGTAGGTTCATTACTAATGTGTTAATAATAATTTAGGCTATGTTTGGATTGAGGTAGGTAAAATTTAATTAGGTAGGTAATGGTAGATTATTGAAAGAAGTAATTAAAGGTCGGTAAAGTAAAGTAATAAGTTAAAAAATTGTGTTTGGATATTTATTACCCTTGTTTTTTTCGCACATCAAAAATAGCAAAAAACAGAAATAAAATTGTTAAAAAAGAGAAAAAAATAATTGACAAAAACAGCAAAAAACATAAAAAAACAGCAGAAAATAAGCAAAAAAACAGAAAAAAAATAACATAGAAAAAAACAGAAATAAGGGCACAAAAAACAGTAAAAAAACAGGGGAAAAAAATTAAAAGCCGAAAAAACATGAAAAAAAGATTTCAATATTTGACAAAAAACAGCCAAAAAGCATAAAAAAACAGCAGAAAAAAAGTAAAAAAACAGAAAAAAAATAAAAGCAAAAAAGTAACAGCAAAAAGAAAAATAGAAAAAAGGCACAAAAGCCGCAAAAAAAAAAGAAAAAAAAATGGAAAAAACACCAAATGTCAACAATTGACAAATGTACCTGAAACCCTTCACGCCGGAGAGAATGGAGTCGCCTGCATGTGTTGGAGTTGCGGCGCTGCGGCTGGGACGTCGGCGAAGATTGCGGATGGGAGACCTGCGGCAGGAAGAAGATCGGAGTGGAGAAGGGAAGATCGGATGGAGAACGTAAAAAAAAAAAAAAATCGAAGTGGAGAAGGGCAACAGGGGAAGCCGAAAGTTAACCTAGGTTTATAGTCAAATTGGCGGTCTCAATTTTATCTGTTGAGGGGTTAAATTACCTCTCTTCACTTCCTCTTACCCGGTTTTATCGGGCCAAATCCGGACTGGGGCCGAATAAGAGAGACCTTGTGGATCGAGGACCGGACAGATTTGCTCGGGACCGGACTTGTAAAATCTGAATCGGACTCGGACCAGATCGAATAAATGTGTTTTTTTATTTTTTTTCATTTGATTTTGTTTATTTAATTTAAAGTATTCAATTGTATAAAAATATTACTACAATTAATTTTTACTCCCTCCGTCCAAATTTATTTGCAACACTTCGAACGACGTGCAAAATATCATCTCTTTTAAAATCACTTTAATTTCAAATTGGTAGAGTAATAAAAAGTAAAAATTACACCATTCAAAAGTATATGAAAAGTTCTACAAAACAAGATGCAACAAGAATATTTTATTTTATCAAATGGTCAACCAAAACGAGTAAACAAACAAAAGTTATCGAGAGGCCGGAATAGTAAACGTGGCATTTTTTTTGGGACAGAGGGAGTAATGTATAACATACACTAAACATTTTCAAAATTGATGTTTTTAATTTTTTACAAACTTTAAAAAATATATATCCTCCATCCATATTACATAAGATTTATTTGTAATTTTTATTTTACATATGGAATATTCTTCTTCTTACTGTTTTTTTAATTTTTATAACATATTTTTTTGTGTTTCGGTTTATTTTGGCAAAGGATACATTTTTTACTATTTTTGTTCATGAGGTTGTTTACAATGTTTTTTATTAGAGTTTTATTACTCATAAAGTACAAACTTAAGTTATAGTTATTGTTACATAAGTTTGAAATGAAGTAGATCGCCAATACAAAGGTAATGTTTACTTTTTCACACTTTTAATGTTAAAAATATTTAAATATCATTAGAATTGGTATCTTATTTTGAATTGGAATATTTATTAAAAAAATTATATTAGATAATATAATTAAAACATTTGAAAAACTTTTAATATTAAAGTAGAAGTAATTTTAAGTATAAGAAACAAACTTAAAAAAACTACTCGTATATGACAAAACTATATAGAAACTAATATATAAAAAAAATAAAATGTAATTGGTCCACCGGTCCGCACCGAAACCACGATGGACCGGACAGGACTGGACCAGAACCCAAATAAGGAAAATGTGAGGACCAAACCGGACCGGTCCGGTCTGGTTTTGGCCGGGTTTCGTGTTGGTCCGGTTTCGAACCGAATAATGCACACTAGGAACGTAAATGAATCGAATATTTTTGTTCGATTCGTGATTCGTATTCGTTTAAGGTGACTCGTATTCGATTTTTTCAAATCCGAATACGAATACGAATCTGAATAAATATTCGAATCCTTATCGAGTACGAATATGAATCAAGGGTATTCGATTCGTGAGTTTGACAAATATATTTGGAATATAACAAATCTAATTATATATATATATATATATATATATATATATATATCAAATTGTTATAAAATATTTTAAAATCTAAATGAACTGAATAATTTTAAACGAACCGAATATATTTAAACGAATCGAATATTTAAACGAACCGAATATGTTTAATATATTAAACGAACCGAATACGAATCTTAAAAAATATTCGAACTGAATTCGAATTCGAATTCGAATATCATTTCATCTTAACGAATATGAATATTTTCAACCCTATTGCACACCCCTACTCTTACATATCTTAGGGTTGTATTGAATTGGGAGTCTGTTGGATTTTTTTAAATTTTTAAAATTTGAATATATTCAATCTGGATGTTTAAAAGTCTTTAAAAATCTTGAGGTATTCAATAGGGATTTTTCAGAGTCTTTAAAAATATTGAAGTATTCAAATTAGATTTTCAAGAGACTTTAAAAACTTTGAGGTATTCAAAAATATATGAGTTTTAATACTCTATGGATTGTGTTGGATTTTCAATCAAAAAATGCTTCATTTCACTACTAAAAATCTCTTCTCACGATCCCAGATTTTTATGGACTTCAAACCTATTTTGTATGAAAAATCAATCGGAGCAGAATCGGATGAGGGCAACGCTGAGTCGGGTTTCAGGGCCGATCTGTTGATTCCGGTAACCAAATTTGCTATGGCTGGTGGCATTGGAGTCGTATGACTGTCATAAACAATTTGGGAGCATTTTGAGACTTCTCCGCTGCATGTGGTGGCCGGAAAAAGGTGCGCCGTTGATTAGAAGTCGCCACCTTCGATCTGCCAGATTCTGACCTCTTTTCCGGCGAAGTCTGGGTACGTTGAGGTCGCCTCACCGGCGACCAGCATCCTTCATGTATCTTCTTTCCTATGTTTCCCTTATAAATTGTATACTCCCTGTCTCTTAACATCTTTTCTCTTCCAATTGTGGGTTAATTGAAATTGGACGGTGGAAGGTGGTAAAAAGGTGTTCGCGGTTCTGAAACTCCTCCTCGAGAAAATTGAAGTTAGCGGCCGAACGGAGAAGGTGCAAAAATTCTACACACATATTCTTAAAACTCTACATAGATTCTACAAAATTTTCAAAGCCTACATGGATTCTACAAAAAAAAATCAGCCAAACTCTACATGAATCCTCCTACGAGATGGAATCCTCTGGATCCAAGTATTTTTAAGTGTAATGTCTATGATATAATTCTTTTATCTACAAAGGTTGCAAAAGCGGGCATGGAAGTACGAGACAGTGAAGGACAGTTCGTCAAAGTGGCACATGAGGCTTGAGGCTAACGTAAAATGCGATGATGTTAGAAGCACTGGGAGTCAAGAGGCGTTGCATTGGCTTAAGGAAGAGTTTAGTACAGTCAACAAGCGATCACCCTCGAAATAGATAATCGAGTACTTTAATATGCTTTGCAGGCTAAAACTGATGATAACTCATATTTTACAGGGATTTTTTTGTGATTGTAAAAGATTAATGACGAGATTTTGTTCTCTGTATTTATCTCTTGTTAGTGTTGTTATCTGTTGTTAGAAAACTTGCTAATCAAGTTATTCATGATTTAGCTAGGGCGATTGATTCAACGTCTGGTTTCATTGAATGGGCCTTTAATTATCCGCTCTTTATTTGTGATATGTTAAAATTTGATATGCTAAGTTAATGAAAATTAACATTTACTTTCAAAAGTAAAAAATAAAAAAATAAATAAACATCATTCATGGAGTCTTTAGGCCAAACAACTCCCGGCATGGATGTTCAATTGGTTCAAAGAGAGGATGTCAAACCCGTTAATCTTAGGGTTGAACTCGGCAGCAGTAGTACGTGTGAGAATTCCTCCGTATTTTTAATAACTCCTTGTGTACGGGCCTGTTTATTAACGCTAATCGCTAACGCTATTCCCAAACAGGTTCTACATCTGGCATAAGACGGACTCTCTTTGGACAGATAGAAATTATACCATAATTTACCCACCTCACTATTCGGTGGAGCAGGGGTGGGCGTGTGGGGGGGTTCCACCTTTTTACAATGTTATTAAACCCGGACCGGACTGGCCGGTCCAACCAATTGGACCGCGAACTGGACACCAATCCGGTCCGGTTCAACATCGAAAAGCGAACCGGATGACCCAGGTTGGCCCAACCGGTTTCCGGGTTTAGACCAAAATGCCTTATTTGATTAAAAAGTTTCATTCCAAGATTCGAACCTGGCCACCACAGCTACACAAGAGAGATCTTAACCAAATGAGCTACTCGGCTTTTGCTAACAATGCCATGCAATGTTGAATATATTAGCTTCTTAAACTATTTAGAGAGTAATTTTTTTTAAAAAAAACTTCCAATTATTTAAAAAAAGAACTATGTTTATATAATATATTTATATTGTTGATTTTTTAAGCAGTTCAAACTTATATATAATTAGTATTATTTATTTTTATCTTAAGAAAACTATAAATAGTCTATACTTAATGTATTATTCTTTATCTTTAAATTATTAATTATAATTTAATATGCCGCTTTTTATATTTTCAATCATTTTAATCAACTAAATATAAATTTTACTCCTTAAAATGTAACTAGTAAATAAAAACATATTATCTATTCTTTATTTTTCAAAAACAAAAAGAGTATTACCTTATAATTTAAGTGTGTGTTAGACACTCAATTTTTAATAATAATAAAAGTAATTGAAAAAAATAGAAATTGTGAAATAATATATGGGTTATCGAATTAAAACTAGATAGAGAAGTAAAAACACAAGCTAAATACTTTTTTTAACTAAAAATATCTAATGATATAATATAAAATATTAGCATTTTAATTACAGTTTGACCGGGTCGTTGACCCGAGTTGACCCCGATTCAACCGGTCTTGACCCAGTGTTTTGTCCGGGTCGACATCCGGTCCGGTTTTAGGCCAAACAACTGATCCGGGCCTTAGCTTATTGTTGTTGAAGAAAACCAAGCCCACTCCCATAGTCCCATTGGCCATTGCTAACTTTCCAGCACAGTCCGCGAAGAGAGCATCGGATGATCTGAACAGCGAGAGGCGCTCACCGGAAATGATGAGAGGCGCGAGCGCTATGGCGGCATTTCGGGCGGGACTCCGATCTTACTGTACCGACAGCGCTGACGCATTTCAGAGCTCTAAAATTAAAATCTTCGATCGCCATCTTAAACGCAAACAGGTACTGAAAATCTCCCGCTTATTTTCTCCTTTTGATGTAGTTCAAGCATTATACGGAGTACATAATATGGTTATGGGATTTTCTTTCAATTCTGAATAAGCTTACCCAAATTGTAAACAAGTCAAAATTATCTGTATTCATGGAAATCCCTTCAATCTATACCTCTAGTTTTACTCTCTCAGAATTATTTTATGTTAATCTTTTCAAATTTCTTCCTCCGTATGTTAATTAAATTGGTGTCCTTCTTTTTCTTTGGGAAAAGAAGTGCATTTTGTAATTTTTTTTCTTTTTCTGAGGCAGTAATGAGGAGCGCTATATTTCAGC